GCGAAACACAAGGTACACACACCGTACACCACGTGCAAAATAAGATGGAAAACGCGGTTTCGGTTCATGGTGCATGCGGTGGGCGCATGCAGCCAACGCGTCTCCAAAGCAACAACGCATGTTTAGCAGTCGTGGATAAATCACGTAGAGCGAAACCCAGCAGCTCTGTTTTTTACGTATGAAAATTCCGTGCAGTTCCTACGTTATTTTCATACGTAATTCCGTAGAGCGAAACCTCCCTATTATTAGACATCCTTAGCAAAAGTACGATAACGCTAACTTTTACGGTACTCACTCCCAGCCGTGACAAAAGACGTTATCGGATAACGGAAAAACGTTACAGAGCTCAAAATAACGGGCCGACGTTCGTTATGGAAACTCTGCAAAAAATGCAAAAACTCGCATTGTTTTGTAACTGGCGGGAGATAAAAAGCACGTGCAGATTGAGATGAGAGTCGAGATTGCTTCCTCTTGTGACATTTAGCTTTTTTGGCGAGTTTTGCCTTTCAGTTGACAATGTCTGCGTCCTCTGCTTCGTGCCTTTCTCCCTCTATCCCATCTGGCAAACAAAGAACCAGTTCCACGGCACTCCTGAGGAAGAAATTCATCGGCCTCTCCCAGACGTGCTGGAGCTGGAGAGCCCTTACAGTCTTCGGTGCTGCGTTTAGGAAAGGTTTTCCAAGGACCTGGAAACAGCGAAAACTCATATTCGCCGTGCTTTTGCTATTCCAGAGTAAAAGACCTCGCCAAGGTATTCTTTCGGAACGACAGCAAACTAATCCCTGGTTCAAAATTTTGAATTTCCCGCACCTGTTTCCACGAAAATTAATATCGCCATGGTTGTCACGACTACTTCGTCTCAACTATAACGTACTTTGTGCTAAGGGAAAAGTCAGCTTGAACGATCCAAAGTACGGAAAGGTTTGCGTTTACGTTAGCGTTTTTTTAGCTAAGGATGTCTATTGTTGACAGTGGTAGGTAAAGGGCCCATAATGTCCAGTGCAATGGTCTCAAACGGCTCGCTGGCTTTAGGGGTCGTCGCAAAAGTTTTCTGTCGTCCCTGAAACGAACATCGTTCATTTCGTACTTGGACCCCCTCCCCTCCCTCTGAAACGAACACAGCTTGCTATGCTGGACGACGAAAATCGCATGCATGTACATGTCATATGCACAGTGTCGGTCGACTTGCGATTTTGGCTCGCACCCCCTCCCCCCCAAACGAATCATGTTCGTTTCAGGGACGACAAAAAACTTTTGCGACGACCCCTTAACATGGGAAAGTTCTGCTCTAGGCAGAGGCCGGGGGTTCTTAAACACTGCACAGACATTACAGTTGCGACAAAACAATGCAGCACTAGTAGACATATTCGGCCAGTAGCACGTTAAGCGGAGTCCAGCTAACCTCCTATCTACTCCAAAGTGACCAGAGGATGGATAATCATGGGCCAGAGCAAGCATCTGATCACGTACAGAGGTAGGCACGACAAGTTGTTTGTATGATTCTTTATCCAGGGTTGCATCAATAGTTCGGTAAAGGATTTCATTGGAAATAAAAAGTTGATTCTGTTGGGTCAAAAGTGTTCGTACAGTACTCAAATCCCCTTGTTGAACAGCTGCACGAGGGCCATCGCCGTCACTACTGCGTGCGTCTAGTAAACGTTTTACGACTAAGCTGATGTCGGGATCCTCTGCGACAGCTGTCTGCCAGGTGGTCAGGTCATCATCATCTAGCCGCACGGTCACGGCACCGACATGGGCCTCCGAAAGGATTTCACCAGCCATGGATAAAATTTCGCTTTCGGGTTTACCTTAATAAAAAACGGGAAAGGGCATCTGCGTTCGCGTGCCGGGCACCAGGATGATGCTCAATTGAAAAATCGTATTCTGCCAAATGCTTATTCCAACGCGCAACTTGACGTTCGGGAGACGTAAAGGAGTCCAATCAAGCCAACGCAGCATGATCGGTACGCAAAAGAAAATGATTGCCAACTAGGTAAGTTCTAAAATGGTAGGTGGCCTAAACTATGGCCAACAACTCTCGACGGGTGATAGAGTAATTACACTCTATCTTGGAAAGGGCTGTACTGGCAAAGGCAATAGGTCTCTCTAGGCCAGCATCATCTAACTGAGAAAGGACTGCACCTAGGCCAAAGTTAGATGCGTCAGTATCCAAAATGAATGGCCGTGCAAAATTAGGGAAGGCCAACACAGGAACGTCAAGTATTTTCTCTCTCAAACTTTCAAAAGCTTCCTGTTGTTTGGTATTCCACACGAACTTGGCACTCTTCTTGGTTAATGCAACAAGAGGGGCATCTTTTTCAGCATACCATTCAATGAAACGGCGATAATAGCCGGTGAAACCAAGGAATACCCGGATTCCCTTAACAGTAGTGGAGGCGTCCAGCAAACAATGGGGGCAAACTTCTCAGGGTTAGCAGCAATACCCTGGGATGAGACTAGAAAACCAAGGTAGGGGACTGGTTGTCTCAAAAGTTTGCATTTGCGGGGTTTAAGCTTCAGACCTGCACGTCGTAAGGCCAAGAGTACTTTACGGAATCGGTCTAGGTGTTCTTTAAAATAATGTGCGTGAGAAAAGGATCACATTATCAAGGTAAATGAGACAGGCATCGAAGGTCAAGCCGCGTAAGGTGGCGTTCATTAACCGTTGAAAAGTGGCGGGAGCATTTGTGAGTCCGAACGGCATACGCGTAAACTGGAATAATCCATCGGGAGTACTGAAAGCAGTTTTCTCTTTGGAATCTACGTCCATGGGGACTTGCCAATAGCCTGACTGAAGATCCAAGGTACTGAAAAAATTCGCACCCCAAACATGATCTAGTGTGTCATCTATCCTTGGGAGAGGATGTGCACCTTTCAGCGTAACTGCATTCAACTTCCGGTAGTCTACACAAAACCGGGTGGAACCATCTGACTTGGCCACTAACACTACAGGGCTAGACCAAGGAGAGTTACTAGGCTCTACCACATCACTATCTAACATGTCTTGGACGTGTTTCCGTACTTCATTTGCCTTGGTAGGGGCTAAACGTCTCGGTGCCTGATTGATGGCACGTGAATTGCCAACACCAATGGTATGGTTCATGGTAGTTGTACACCCGATCTCAGAGTCGTTTTGGGCAATGACATCCGGAAATTCGTTCAGGACATCTGTTAGTTGAGCTAACTGTTCAGCGGAAGCTGAAAAGTCTGATAAATAAAAGAATTTGGCCATGTCAACCGATTGCTGGGGATCAGTGTGCACATTATGGCAAAAATCATGTTCTGGAGGGCGAGTGCCATGGAACAACCTTCCTGCAGCACTAAAATCACTCTCAGCAATAGATGACTTGCACAAAGATCCGAGCCGCGAGTGAGACGGGGCAAGTGCACCCTGTGCACCCAGGCTACACTGCGGGCACCCTACGTAGCTACACCGTCTGTACTGACTTTAGACTAGTGTAGTGTACTTTTTTTGTCAGCATGAATGAACGGTGCAGGGCATGTACATGTACATGATCAGTACCGTCACTGTCTTCAGCAGCTCATGAGTCATGCATGTGCACTTGTAGGGTTAGTGGAAGCAGGTATTGCACTACTCCCTGAGTGGAAGTACATGACTGTATTATTATGTGAAGAGAAGCCAGGCGTCCAAACCAACCCAAAATACTCTTGCCTTATTCTTTGGTGAAATAGTTATAAAAAATTGTCTTACTAAACAACAGTGAGCATAGAAGCAACCTCGATGCACCCAATAATATGGCATCCGGGAACAGCAAGTGTTGCACGAGGATCCCTAGAACACGTCAAGTTCCATGCTACCCGCCGCCATCAAAAGAACGAAGGATAACTGGGCTAGCCTAGTTCATATTCAATGTAACGCTAACGGTACGGGATATAGGAGCCTGTTGGGAAGGCGTGGGTGAGCTGTAAAATCTTTTATCACTCTCTTATTATTGACCCCCACAGAAACTTGTGATCTCTAAGCGGTCAAATATCAGCATATATTTACCGCTTATATTGACCACTTATTATTGACCACTTAGCCCGAGGACGTAGAACTTTTTCCTCAACTTAGAAAAAAATCAGAACTGAAAGAAGAAAAATCTGAAGCCAAATGCTGGGATTTGAACCCAAACTGTCAGATTCTCAGTCAAAGAACTTGGGGAACATACTACAAGAGACAACTGAAAACTTCGGTTTACACAGAAGTAATGTCCAATGTAAACGGCATATGTACATACTATTATACTATTACAATAGTATTCCTTTCTTCCAATAGCAAAGCAAAAACAGTTTTAGGTATGCTATGTCGTGATAAATCTATTATTGCCCTCATAATCGGTCAATATATGAAATATAGACCTCGTAAAAGACCTCGGGGGACCTCGGTCTTTTACTCGTTCTATATTTCATATATTGACCTCTTTAATCGTGCAATAATAGATACGTACGGTTCGCACAGCACAACATACATGCAGCAGTTATTGCGACGGTTAACGTCGATGGACGAGAGTCATAAAGCACAGTCCATGGGGGTTGACGTTTCTGGGCTTCCTTTCCGAAAGGAAAGTTTTATTTCTTCTCAAAAAAGCAGAATCATGCTGATTATACCAGTCTGTTATGAAGACAAGGAAGCAGCCATGGACATTGTGCCATTCTAAAGGAACGACAGGTAAAAGATAAAGCACTTCATCTGAAAACTCAAGGACTATCCATAAATACAGCAAATAATTATCCTAGCCTGGTAATGTCTGTTGTATTATGATGTAATGCATTACGTAGCCATGCAAGAGCATGCGCGAGATACGCATCTCGCAGCTGCCTACTTTCATGCAGGATCCTTTAGATGTCGTTGTTCTTATGATTTGCCTACAATGGCCAAGTGAGAATATAATCCTGTCGTAAACAACTAACTTGTTTACCCCGAAACATGGTGTCAGAAGTAAACTAAATAAACGCCCTAGAATTGTCGCAGTAGCGCCACCGGCGCAAGAGGTAAAATGGCAGAAGCAGCCGGATTTACCCCGCCGTCGATGGATTGGCAAGCCGCAGATTTACCTGACGAATTCGAGCGGTTCCAACAATACTGCCTTCTAGTTTTCCAAGGGCCCTTTTCCGACAAGTCCGACAAGGAAAAGGTCGCCTATGTCATGCTATGGATCGGGAGAACTGGTGTTGATGCTTTCAATAGTTTCGAGTGGGATAATGCAAGCAACAAATCCAAAGTAGCTGCCGTCTTCAAGAAATGTAATAAGCATTTGCAGCCACTGGTAAATGCACGACTGGCTCGGTTTGAGCTTCAGAAATACCGCCAGCAACCCGACGAGTCTGTAGATGATTTCTTTGCGAGGTGTAAGAAGAAGACGTCCAAGTGCAAGTTCAGGGACGCTCAGGAGACTAACGATCGCCTGATAGAACAGCTAATCGTGGGGACGAAGCACTTGAAAGTGCATGAACGCCTGCTGGAGGGTGGTAGTGATTTGACTCTGGACGAAGCGCTTGGCAAGGCCCGTACTAATGAAGCAACACAGCGCCACATGGAGCAGCTGTCCATCGCCACCAGCAGCAGCCGTCTACCTGAAACGGTTCACGCCATTTCCAAATCTGTGGGACACGCAGACTGCGGCAAATGTGGACGAACCCACCACCCAAGCAAGTGCCCAGCGCACGGCTCCACCTGCAACAAATGCGGGAAGGCGAATCACTGGGCAAACGTATGCCGTTCGCAGAGGAGAGACGAGGCACATGGAAGGGGCCAGCAACGTGGACGCTGGCGCCAGAGGAGCCCCAGCCCGCGGGAGGGCTACCCCCAGAGGAGCCCCAGCCCACGGAGACGCTTCGACGCACTGCATTTCGACGCCGTCATCATCGACAGCGTCGAGCGTCACCAACCGCCACTAGAGCGAGAGGTGTTCGCGACCCTCAATGTCAGCCTGGACAACACCAACAGACCGGCCACCTTGAGAGCCAAGGTAGATACGGGCGCCCAGGGCAATATATTGCCGCTGAGAGTGTTCTGCCAAATGTTCCCCCAGCACGTCGGACCAAACGGATACCCAAAGCCGAAGTCCGTGAAGCCATCAAGTACCACCCTCAAAGGGTACGGCGGATCCAAGATAAAGCAATGCGGAACCCGTCCTATTCCGTGCTCTTACGATGGCAAGAGTCAACTCGCTGACTTCTACATCACGGACTGCCCGGGCACTGCTATCATCGGTCTCCCGACAGCGACAGCCCTGCAGTTAGTCACGCTGAACTGCGCTGTCCAGGAGAAGCCAGCGAGCATCCGAGACAAGGACGACCTGATGAAGCAATACCCGAAGTGCTTTGATGGCATTGGGAAATTCCCAGGCAAGTACCACATCACGGTGGACCCCAACGTCGTCCCGGTTGTACACCCTCCACGCCACCTCCACGCCATCGCACTGAGAGACGAGATCAAGACGGAGCTGGAGGACATGATCCAGAACGGCATCATCACCAAGATCCAGGAAGGTGAACCAACAGCGTGGGTGAACAGCCTCGTGTTCCGCCTCAAAGACAACGGCAAGCTACGCCTGTGCCTAGACCCCAAGGACCTCAATCACGCCATCCTGCGAGAGCACCACGTGGTCTCCACCATTGAGGAGATCACCCGGAAGTTGAGAGGTGCCAAAGTGTTCTCGATCGTCGACGTCAAATGTGGGTACTGGAATGTGGAGCTCGACGACGAATCCAGTTACCTCACCACCTTCAACACACCATTCGGGCGCTACAGATTCCTTCGCATGCCATTCGGCCTCAAGATGTCGCAAGATGTCTTCCAAGCAAGGATCGACCAGACGTTCGAAGGGTGGTCAGGCGTCACCAGAATCGCAGACGACATCGTCACATACGGGACGTCAGACGAGGACCATGATCTCAACATGCACCAGATGATGGTTCGCTGCGAACAATCTGGTCTCAAGTTGAACCCAGACAAATGCCGCATCAAAGAGGACAATATCAAGTTCTTCGGCATCATCTGCAGCGCTGACGGAATACAGCCCGACCCGAAGAAGGTCTCAGTGCTGAAGCAGATGGAGCACCCCGAGAACGAGGACGAGCTCCAGACGTTCCTCGCGCTAGTCACGTACATGAGCCCGTTCATACCGAATGCCAGTACACTGACCGCGCACCTGCGTGAGCTGACCAAGCCAGATACACCGTTCGCCTGGACAGACAGCCACCAGCGCACCTTCGACAAGGTCAAGGCCGCCATTTCGACAGAAGTAACGCTCAGTTACTTTGACCCAGGCAAGGCAACGACACTACAAGTCGACGCTTCCATGAAAGGTCTCGGCGCCACTCTGCTGCAGGACGACAAGCCTGTTGCATTCGCCAGCAAGAAGCTTACCGAGACGGAGTCTCGCTACGCCAATATTGAGCGTGAGCTCTTAGCTGTCGTATACGGGTGTGAAAGATTCCACACCTACCTATTCGGTCAGTCATTCACAGTAGATGCCGACCACAAGCCGCTGGAGTCAATCAAGCTCAAGCACCTTCGCGCAGCCCCGCCGCGTCTACAGCGCATGCTGCTGAAGCTGCAGCAGTACGACATGACCATCAAGTACCGCCCCGGAAAGGACATTCCGATCGCAGACGCGCTATCCCGACTGTCGCCAGAGGAAACCGAGCCAATTGAGGACCTCGACGTCAGTGTACACGCCGTGTTCCAGCAATTCAGCGATGCAGCGATGACGAGGATCCGCGAGGAGTCAGCTAAAAACGCCGAGATGTCAGCACTGAAGGAGATGATCTTCAGTGGCTGGCCATCAGAGAGGAGCGCGGTGCCGGCAATTCTGCTCCCGTACTGGAATTTCCGCGACGAGATGAGCACCGAGGACGGTCTCATCCTGAAGAGCAGTCGCGTCCTGATTCCCCCGCCAATGAGGGGGGAAATCCTTAGCAAGCTGCACGCCAGCCACCAAGGCATAGAGAAGACCAAGCTGCGAGCCAGAACGTCCGTCTTCTGGAAGGACATCAACAAGGATATCGAAGCAACTGTCTCATCTTGCACGACGTGCCAGCGCCACCAGAGCAGTCAAGCCAAGGAACCACTGGTGCAGCCCGATATTCCGCCAAGGGCATGGCACACCTTAGGCACGGACCTGTTCTACCTCGGCGGGTCAGAATACCTCATTGCCGCCGACTACTACTCCAAGTACTTTATCACCCGGAAGCTGCCTGCCGGACAAGCGACCAGCAGGGCCATCATCCAGCACCTCAAGGAGATTTTCGGTGAGCACGGCATCCCAGCCGTGCTGAAGTCGGACAACGGGCCGCAATACAGCAGCCATCTGTTCGCGGAGTTTGCTGCCGAATATGGATTCCGCCACAGTACGTCGTCGCCACATCACCCGCAGAGTAACGGGTTTATCGAATCGCAAGTCAAGATCGCTAAGAGAGCTCTCGAGAAGGCAAGGGAGAGCAGGACCGACCCGCACTTAGCACTGCTGTGCATTCGCGCCACCCCAGTGTGCAAGGGCTTACCGTCGCCGGCCGAGATGCTATTCGGTCGTCAGGTACAGGACAACCTGCCTCGCAAACACCAGCGCGACACTCGGGACGAGGCCATCCGACAGAAGCTCGAGGAACGGCAGGACCAGCAGAAAGTACACCATGACCAGCAAGCGCAGTCTCTCCGCCCCCTAGTTCCTGGTCAGCACGTCGGCATCCGCAGCCCGACCATGCACCTGTGGGAACCTGGTATCGTAACCCAGTCTGCCAACGGGCCACGGTCATACATGGTACAGCCTGACCATGGGACAGAAGGGCGGTGCAACCGTACCCACCTCAGAGAGAGGCGGGTCCACTTCCCGCCGGATGCCAGTCTCGCAGGCCCTCAGCCGTCGACGCGCAGCGACATTGGCGAGCCTCAGCCGCCGAGTGACGTGCCGTCGCCGTGGAGCGACGTTAGCCAGTTTCAGCCGCCGTCACCATGTGACGTCAGCAAGCCTGCTGAACCTGCCACCCAGCTGTATCGAACACGGTGTGGCCGCGCAGTCGCACCCAGGTCAATCCTGGATGTGTAGGGCCAGAGAGGCCTCATGGACCTGTTCGCTTATGTCACAGTAGCTGAGGTGCCATTGTTATATTGTACATAGAGCTATTGTTGGATACTATGTCTCTGTATTGTCAGCACGCCGTCGTGTGCCATTCATGATTGTTACCTTGTACATAGAGCTATTGTTGGATGTTATGTTCTATATTGTGAACACGCCGTCATATACGTACGGTATGTTATGTAGGTTGTTAAACTCCTTTATGACGAAGGGGATGTTGTATTATGATGTAATGCTTTACGTAGCCATGCAAGAGCATGCGCGAGATACGCATCTCGCAGCTGCCTACTTTCATGCAGGATCCTTTAGATGTCGTTGTTCTTATGATTTGCCTACAATGGCCAAGTGAGAATATAATCCTGTCGTAAACAACTAACTTGTTTACCCCGAAACAATGTCCAACTCCGTCATGTGAGCCATTCGGTGAGTTATCATGGGAAGCATAATGTTCGAAATGCTGAAATTTGAACAGTTGCAGTTGTGTTCGTCGCCGCACAATGCCATCGCCAGTTCACATTTGAAAATGTAGCCATTTTTACGCTTGTGTCCCTGTACACGGCATGGAAGGCTGAGCAGATTCAACTCTTCCATCGCTTCCTGATCTGTACAGTAGTGCGGTTGCGTTCCCGTTCCTGACACATCGGTCTCCCCTAACCAGCATCATGAGCACTCCAATGGTTCCCGCCGCTCCTTCCGTATCGTCCCAGCGCGCCCCGTCAAAATGTGAATTACTGTAGGCAACGGAGCCAATGTATGATGAAGGCGAATGCACTGTTTGATGATGCTCCAACAAATCCTTTCTGAGACTGAGACCCAGCCGGAGCCGCATCGTCGTCATTACCAGCTAATCATGGGGATTTATAATGTGACTTTCCACCACTCCCTGATTCAATCATATTTTGCGAGCTTGCGCCAAACTGCTTTCTCACTAGAGCCAGGTATTGGATACATATGGCTTCAGTAAGGTTAACAATGCTATGTCTCTGGCCTAAGTCCAAGTCTAGATACAGCTGTTCAGAGTCAGGGCTGATGAAGTGTTCATATCGGAACAAGTGAGACTTCAACAGTAGCTAGTACACATCAGGCCTGAGGACTTCGCAGCGTTTCTCCAGCACACTTGTTCTCTCCTTGAACTCAGATACTACTTGAAGTACTACTAAAGGCCATCTGGCTCTCACACTCAGTCCTTCCACCCCTCATTTTCGTGGTTCGGGCTTCCACTCTTGACTCGGCAGGTTCCTGGCCTCTCCGCAGTCTGTCCTCAGGAGAGGGTCGCTCTGGAGCTAGTGCAGCCGAATCGAAGGGAATCGAGTTCTTTCTCAGACGTCCACAAACTTTCGTTGTGCTTGACTTCGCTTCCACTGCGGGAAAGTTGTCACACTTCAGGACTACGACGTGCTTGTTGCAGCCTACACCAATTATACTAAAATAATATTCCCTCGTTTGTTCTGCCTCCCGGCCGGCCGGCTCGGAAAGGAACGTATGGAATGGGAGCCTCAGTTCCATCTCTCGTCTGCTAGTGCATTCAGGAGCGTAGCAGCGCTTCGGCATGACGACACAAGCCGAATCAAAACAACTCTACTCTCTAGCCAAAAAAATAGCTCAGTGTTCGTCAGGCAAAAAGCGAAACTTCGAAAGTCACGAACTCAAAAGGTGGGGAAGTCAGAGTCAGAGAAGTACAGTCCAGAAGGTCCACTTACCCCGTCTCGAACCCAGACAATCTTTGTGCAAGTCATCTATTGGTTCATACGAGTTTGCAGGGCAAAATTCTGGAGGCCTAGTTCCGTGGAACTGGACCTCCGAGTCAACAATAATATTACTGGGTGGGCACTGTCTCGGAGAGAGGTTTGGGAGGCACTGTCTCGGAGAGAGGTTTGGGAGGCACTGTCTCTCTCCGGAGGATACAGTATTTGAAGTTGATGGATCAACCGCGCCATGCACAGGATGTCCTGTGGGCGAAATATCGTCCAACTCAGCGAACGAAAAAGGGTCCAGTCCATGCCAAGTGGCGATTGAATGATTTTCACGCAATTCAACTGGGGAATTTGATGGATTTAGCAAGCGAACAGGAACTTCACCGGCAACACTCGACCTGACCAAGGTGGAACCAACTAACACAGAACTACATGAGGGGGAGGGCATTCGCTCTACCAATCCAGTAGAGAAAGAGCATGCAATTCCGCCAATAGCAATCATTTCGGAACGAGCTGGAATGTGTACATGCTCCTGCAAAATGACATCACTACCTTCGACTGGGGTCTGTGGCTCCACAGTTCTGCGGGGGATGTACGGGACGAGTGGAGTCGAACTCCCACTCGTCAATGAGCTGTTGTCATCCCGAATTGTATTGCAAGGCCCGCCGACAGGCATGACCACTCGAGGTAAATTGACACGCAACCTTCCCCCCCCCCCCTGGCCCACAGTGCCTCTGGCGCATGCTGACTGCTTCTCGCCAGCTGCCGACTCTGGAATGGCCTGCCCGACTGTATGAAGTCCATAGTATCTGTCCGTGAATTCAAACGCATGCTAGGCGTATTTTTACTTCGGTTAAATGTAATGGCTTTCGTAACCTGCTGATGAGGCTCGATAGAATCATGCTACGATGACCCGACTTGTAAAGTTGAGATCCATTTTTTCTGCTCGTCTTGACCCTGTCTCCCCTCATTGCTACTCCTATTTTCGTATTTTTATTTTCATTTATTTTTCTCTTCATGTCTGACTCTTCTTACTGGTTGTCATCGCTTCCATAATATTGGGTAGAACTGCCCGTTTGCCATGCGAAGTAAAATAAATAAACAACAACAACTCCAGGTCATCGTACACTTACTCAAGTTTAAAACTATGCCATATTTCACTGGGACGTCTGGGCCCAACAAAAAGTCTTCATGCAAATTGGGGACTATGATAGCTGAAAGTTGTAAAGGAGTGCTGGAATGGTCCAACTGCAGGGTAAAGGTCACGGCTCCCGAAAATTCCATGGGGCGGCCCTCTGCAGAATACAGACGTCTTACTCCGAATACGTCTTCAGCACTGTGGGAGTCTGGATGAACATCACACTGTTTTAGGACACTCTCTTTCACGAGTGAAACTGCGGCACTCGTATCAACAAGGATACGGCTGACATGAACAGGAGTGGTTGCACTAGCATCTGGATTAGGAAAGTTAAAGGTACCCGAAACGTAAAAACCACTTGAACGGGCAGAAACATTAGGGATGGTCAGGTCGAGGTATTCATCATCAGTACATGTATCTTCTTCGTGGAGAGCATTTACAGCTTGCAACACGGGCGTGGTATCAAGCGCGAAGACAACGGGCAAAACAGGTGTGTCATCCGCATTTTGATCCATCAACACTTTGAATAGCTAAAAAATTAGGGGTGTTGTGATGGATTTCCGGAGGCGCAAAGGGAAGAAGAGGTTCATCCTCTTCTTCAAACTCTTCTAAAAGTGGGATATGCGCCCCCGAGCCGTCATCACAGCATTCCGTGCATGCGGAGTAAGGGGCACCCAGCGAAGTGTCTGCTAGCACCTCATACTCAACAGTTGAACCCATATCACATTCCCCAGAATGACAATCAGCATCACCCCAAGGCAGAATGGATTCCAACCAACTAGCAGCATTACTTATTTACTTCTATTGTTATCACAAAGAGACGCAAAAGTTGTGTCGACAAGAGATTTGTCATCAGCAGGAACTTCTGACCTACGCCGTCTATATATGGGTATCTTACTGGAACTACGGTACTCTACTCTACTACTTCTTTTAATATCACACTCTTTATACTGCACGGAATTGTGGGTTGTTATAATAGTTATATTAACTGAGCACAAAGAGGACTAAAGTAGAGGACAGAGGCAATTACAAGGAGAAGACAACTCGGAGGACAAGAAGAATAACTGTGAGAACTACTAGGAGAACTCTGTTAGGAGAACGACTAGGAGAACTACACTGCGCAAGCGCAGCCTTCTGGGTATAACCAAGAGTACTCTAATTTCAGAATATTTCGGTGCCCAAAATTTTCGGTAAGAGGGCAACAGGCTAGGTTAGGTGAACAGAAATTTTCGGTACAGAGAAGCAGTTCTCTATTGGAATAAGTGTGTTAGTGTTTGTTCGGTGTATTGAAATTTTAGGTATGAAACAGACGCACCGAAAGTACCGAAAATAAAAGTACACCGAAAATTTGTGAAATTACAGTACCGTAAAATCCCGCCAGAGCGCCCCGTCTCCCCCATCCGCCCCTCCCTGACTTCTTGTCGGGGACGTGATTGATTGTATCTTCAAACGACCCACGTGCCCTTTGCTAGGTTACGACCAATCAGCGGCCTCGGAGAGCGGGCTTTGATTTGCCATCAAAGCCCGCTCCTGGTACGCAAAAACCATCAAAGCTCTATCGTACTGCTCATGCGCACTATCAGTTTTATTGTTTCCTGTGCAGAGTGAGCGCAGAGTTCTTACCTTGCTCTTACCTTTTTTGGAAGTGTCTTACCTAATATGGCCGATTCATCGTCGGAACCAACTGCCAAGCGCCGGTTCGAGTCCGTTTCAGTGCAGGAGGTGGACACTGTGATCACTGAAAGAGTACCGAAGAGCACATCGTCCACCACGAAGGGATGGGTGAAAGTGTTTATGGATTATGCTGCCGACAATGGAACCAATATTGATCTGGCCACGTGCTGCAAGGACGAATTGAATGAAGCACTATGTAAGACTTATTTGGGTATAAGAACACAGAAGAAAGAGTACTACCAGCGGAGTAGTTACCAGGGGTTCAGAGCAGCAATCAATCGCCACCTAGCTGAGACTGACCGTGACATGAATATCTTCACCGATCCTGAGTTCCGCCGTTCAAACCAAGCCTACGACGGAATCCTGAAGAAACTAAAACGGCAGGGCGAACTAAACGCAACACAGTCCAAGGCAATTATCAGTGCCGAGGATTTTGCAAAGATTAACAAGTTGTTTTTGTACTC